GGCGGAACCTTATCATGCACGGCCCAAATGCTTCCATTATCCATGGGCCAATGCTGTAATTAAGTGATCTTCAGCGTGGGCAGCACAGCAGCTGTAAGCTCCGCACGACACCTGAAATGCGATGATTTCTCGCCATTCTGCGGCAGTCTCCTAAAGAAAACACCAATGCGCTTTCTTGGGAGGCAGCCTACAACATCCCTCCTACAGGAGGTAGCTGAACAGTTCAATCCTCGCACGTAAGGAGCAGTACAATTTCGAGGAGAACCCAATCGCCATGCGACTTGGTGCCATCGCTGCTCCCATGTACTGGCTTTGCACGCAAGGCCCGACAGCACAAGTGCTATCGGAATGTCGGGGCGCGGCGACATCCAAAGGATGCAGGCAGGTAACAATCCCTTCCTTCTTCAGTGTTTGGGTGGTGTTCTGCATCCTGCAACTGCCATGGAATCATGAGTGGCGGGGCCAATCCACTTGCTGCTTCTAAGCAACGGCCACGCCAGATGCAGATCGGGGCTTACGACCAGCTTGGCGTCCGATCAACATGTTGATGTGACTGTCTGGATGGCTTGGTCGACGATGTCCCTCATACACCCTGGTCTCTGTACTGGGGCGCAAAGGTGGTTGTGCTCCTGCTGCGTTTCATAAGCGTGTGTGCCGCACTGGCCTCCGGCATTTGGAACAAGAACCTCCCAGCTTTCGGGATGCTAGCCCAACCACCCAGGTGTCGCTTGTTTGGAATCTGGCTACCCCTTTTGCAGATAAGAAGTCCTTGGTCGCCTGCGATGGCCATGGCTCACCTTTGTCGAGCCTTAGTGTTCAGGGCATCGTTCCGGACTCAATGCGCGGGAAAACCTGTAGCACCTAAAGCAGTAAGCTGCTAGCTTGCTGCTGGCACCGCGGTCCCACATCGCGATGGTCCAGCAATACCATAAGCTCTCTTCTTACGACTCACCTGAGGCTCTGTCAAGGCTGCGAGACCCTGCTGAAACCTGGGCAGCAAAGTCACACTGCAAGGACGCATTCTGATCGCCGCTCAGGGCCGGATTTATAAAAAGGCTAGCGGCTACCACAACTTAAAGGTCTTTCTGCATGAACTAAATTGGTCTCAACACCAGCAATGGCCCGAAAAGAACCGGAGTTCGACATCTCAAGCGAACGTTCGAAGTGGCAGCCAAGGATCGACACGCGCCGCGACAGGCGTGGAGGCCCCGTCGTTGCCTAGGTTTGCCGTCTCAGAGTTTCGAAACCGCTTGGTGCGCTCAGCGTCTCAAGGCAACGGCTTGGATGGCCGGTGGCCTTGGCTTGGCCATCCCATTGAACTGCGCTTTAGACTCTGGTCAAGAGCACTATGATCCTACTTTTCCCCACTGGCGGCAGGTCCATTAACAAGGCTCCCGGTCCAGCTGCACTCCGCAATTTGCATGTGAATGCAGAGTGGCAGAAGGACGGCTCGATTCGAACATTCACCGCAGGTATTTCGCGAAATCGATGTCGTGCCTCTGCCGATCGGCAGAAACCTCGCTTGAAGCTTCAGAAGTCGTCTGAGCTTCTAATCCTGCACGGCAGACTATCAGCCCGTGCGATACTGCGATACTCTCGTCAACGAAACATCCCAGTCCTTGCTGCCGTTAGCAAGAAGCGGCGCCTGCAAGGAATCGCACGCCTGCTCCAAGGCGGTGAGGACCTGGTTCCATCATCCGAGCTCTGGCCAAGCTGCGTTCAATGTGCCCGGCTGCCTTCTCGCGGTCACCATGCAACTTCAGGATGGCCTCCTGACAGCTGAGAAAAGGCTTAGCAAGCTGCCGCTGTGATGCTGACGAGGCGAGCGGCAATATGCTCCGCTCGCTCCGAAAGGTAGTGCCAGCGCCTAAGCGACACCACGACACTTCCGACGCGGGTTCCGCAGAGTGGGACCAGCGAGTCGCAGCCCAAGAGGCAGGGCCACGAGAAGCACTATGCCGGCCAAGAGCAAGCCGACGAGGGCGGCGACCGAAATCAGGACCTCCAACTCCAAAGTCGCGTTCGCAAACATACAACGCGGATCAACACGGTATAGCACAGCTAGAACATGCGAGAACTGCTGGCGATGCGGCAAGCATGATCCGGGGCTCCCCTCAACATGTCGTGTTCGGGACAGCGACTGGTCAAGATTGGTCCCATAGATGAACTGGTGGCACACTAGGCCTTGAATACGATCCGGTGCAACTGAAAACGGGTTTCGCATCCGAAACGACAAGACAGCATGAAGGGCCAGCGATCACCATGGCTCCGAGACACCTGCTGTCGGCCACAATTCAGCTGACGTCGCAGCGCCTGGCATCGCAAATGAGACATACCGAGATCACTTCAGGAGTCACTGCCCATGCTTGTGGGATAAGAGCTTGCTTAGGCTTAGATGCAGGACCTGTACGGTGTGTTTGGCATTCTGCTCTGCTTTCTCGTGGCGTTCAGCTGCCTTTGCTTCTCTCTCCTCGGCAGCCTGAGATTCCGCCTCCTGCTTCTTTGCCTCGTCAACTGCTTGATGCGCCCAAGCAGATTCCTCCTCTGTCGCTCTTTGTTTGGCAACGGCCTCTGCTGCAACTCGCCGCTGCTCTCTCATAGCGAGGCTTGCTGCGGCATGCTGCCTTTGCAACTCCGATTGCAAATCCCTACGCTGCCTTGTCCAGGCCTTGGCCTCCTTTTCCCGTTGCCGTTTCGTTGCTTGCAACTTGCTCTGAAGCTCTTCAAGCTTCTGTCCGTGCTGCGAACTCGTGAGATTCTGACCGGCCTGTCTTTGGGATTCCTTGACATCCAACTTCTGCAGGGTTTTGTTGAGACTACTCAGCTGTGCCTGCAATTCCTGCGTCCGCTGCTCCCACCGCCTCACATCTGCACGGGCAGAGGCGCGGCTCGCAAGGGCTTGCTGCGCCCGCGCCGAAGCCGTGGCTGCCCGGGCGTTTGCCTGATCATGAGTTTGCATCATCTACAAGACTCGTGCCAAGTGGTGAAAACGTCTTGAAGCACGCGTCTTGACGGAAACGCGAGTCAAAACAGTGACATGGACATCATGGACCGGAAGGAAAAAAATCAAAGAAGTCGCATCCAGGCCAGCAACGTGCCGGCTTCGAGTCCGAAGCCTAAGCGAGCCCTTTGCGCGTAGGGCGCACATGCGGAGTCGGCGCGCAGCGCGCAAAAAGTCGAAAAACGCGAAACGATGCGAACAATGCAAAACAAAAAACGCGAAGCTTTCTGGACTCTCCGGAAAGCACCATTCCGCGGACTGTTCCAGGCTCTCCTTACGCCATGGTAGCACCCAACCCTGTGGGAAGTCCGGCAATCTAGCCGAGCAATAATACACGGCAGCTGCAAGAAATTCTGGAGAAAACACATTGACTGGCGCTGAAGGGTGCCTCTGTTGCATTGGCGTCGGCTGCCTGCCTTTGCTGCTTCAACGTTGCTTCCCGGCTTTG